CTTGAAAGTATTCAAATTATCCTTATTTCGCTCTTAAAGCTTCCTCTATGAGGAAGCCATAACAATGGAAGCAATGTGCAAATTTCTAATTAGAAAAAAAAGTACATTAAAGTGTGCAAATTAGAAATTTGCACATGGCTTCCTCATAGAGGAAGCTTTAAGAGCGAAATAAGGATAATTTGAATACTTTCAAGAAACATCGTAGTAAAGTTAGATTTCTCTCTTAAAGCTTCCTCTATGAAGAAGCCATAACAATGGAAGCAATGTGCAAATTTCTAATTTGCCTACTTCAATGATGAGGAAGAAATGTGCAAATTTCCAATTTGCACGCTTCAATGATGAGGAAGCAATATGCAAATTTCTAATTTGCACACTTTCAAGAAACATCGAAAAAAATTAGATTTCGCTCCTATTTTAAAATTAATATTACATCCAATGGTATAGTACGCTATATTACACTACGTTACATATTATACAGTACATTATACTAGATTACATGTTACACATTATACATTACGCTTATACGTTACAGGGTACCCGGTAATGCCCCCATGGCAAAGTGTCGGTTGAGTCAGGCACGATGTATCGTTTATCATCGTGCGTACTCAGGGCGATTTTTGTCTCGGATACGGTGTAGACTTGATGTAGCTTCGATCGTATGCACGACTGACGACGAGTCATCTCGATCTCGTCTCTCAAGCATCGCGTGTAATCGTCAAAAGTTATTGTTCGCGCTACCACGTTGCTTTTAACCCCCTTCGCCCTTTTCGCATCGCTTTTACCGTCTACTCTCAAAGCATACATTTTCGCCCTGAGTCCGACGAATTCGGTTATAAATGCCCCATTATTCTCATCTTTCATGAGACCGGGGACTTTCTTATTCGCATGCGGTATACCGTACGCGTTGTCATCTGGATAATCGCTCGTGTCGAATCTGCGTATATTGCGTTTCACAGTCTCGTATACATCCTCGCACTCGACGTGGTATATGAGACTGTCCGTATCGGTGTACATTTTACACTTGTCTCTGTACAGGGGTAGCATATATTCATGGTGAAATTCATACAAGCAGATCTTGGATATGTCGAGGATGCACATACTCAAATAGATCGGA